AGTCACCACTACACTATCTGTCTGCCTGTTTATCCTGTATTGGAAATTGAGAGCAGTTGTAATGTCTCACCTACTCCGACAATTATAATCCTTACATTATGGGATGGGAGAACATAGCAAAGTGTTTCGCAGAATACAATATAAAGTATCGTGACCATGTATTGTGAAGGTGTATTGCATACCAATCAAAATAGGTAGCATTGGATCAATAGTACTCTATTAGCTGTGTTTAATTTAAGACAATTCTACAATCAGTTTCGCCAAACATTCATCTTGGACACCCCCAACATTGGGTGGATGATCCAAACACTGACTCCAAAAAAATGAGCCAAACAGCCTCCCAGTATGTAATACATTTCTACGGTCCTACGCATTTTCTATAGTGTTTTAACACTACAAGTTTAGTAAGAAAGAAACTATAAATCACGTAGTACAGAACAACTGACTGTGACAATTCAGTTTACCGGCAGCGAATGGCATTCCCCTAAAGAATTCACTTCGCAAACAACAGAAATTGCCATCAGACCAACTTATGATCATTAAGAAGAGAAGCTATCCAGTCCAGCAGTTCTTACTTGCACCATATCGGTTGTTTAGGACATGTTGAATATTAACATGAGCGCTGCAAAGGAAAATCCAAATATTCAGAAAAATTAATAATAAGACCTAAAGCATGTTGTGGACTCTTTATAATCACTGCACATCCCTCCATCGCTCCAGACTGCCAGTTCTATCTTACCAAAGAATTACCTGAAGTAACACCATGTCAAAACAAATTGGAAAAGATGCAATGAATAAGGAGGAACAGATTAAAACATTCCAATTGCACAATTCCCAGCCCAGTGGGAGAAAGAATAAACTTGAATTTATTTTCCTAATAGAATGAATGAACGAATGCCTGAGGATTGTTGGGTGGTTGTCATGGGAAGTGTGAGAATTGTTATTGGCAGAAGAAACAGAATTGTGTAGACGACAGACCTTGGAACCTGCCGAATGTGTTTGTGTTTAGTTAATTCTTCAGAGTGGGAATTACAGAAATGAGCCAAAATAATATTATTAATAATAATAACAATAATAATCTTTGCATTTGATATAACGCCTCATCACATCTTTGAGATGTCTCAATAAAGTTATGAATATTGGCAAATAAGCAGGTCTAATTCTCGACTGCTCAGTAAAGTTACTGAGTCACATTTGCATGAGAAGGTAGTTATATTATTTATTGACAGTCAGAGACTCATCTCCATACAGTGTGTTGCTGTTTAACAATAACCTCAAGCACCTACATGGACTAGTTGGCTGAATGGCCTGTTTCATTGCTTTACACTCTGTATAATTTTATGCAACTCATTCAGGGGTTTAAATCAATGGGGGAGGGGAAGAGGACTTTTTTCATTTGTACCTCTCTTGTAATAACTATTTTGATTCTTCCGACAGATAGTTGATTAACACAAGAAATAACACAATGCAAGTAAAATAGGAAATGACAGATGATAATACTTGCATTTGATAATACTTGCGTCTTTTCACATTCGGGAGGACAAGTCAAAGTGCTTTGCGTGATTTACTGTAAAGTGCATTTTGTAGAAGATGAAGACGAGATAGAATATTTGATAAAAGTAAAATTTAAATAACAATATCAACTTCATTTATAATGTACCTTTCACGTGGGGTTGCATCTCAGAATGCTTAAAATAAAGCAAGAGTATAAAAATAATATTGGAAATGAAGAGGAAAGAGACCAGAAAAGCGTATCCTATAGTTACAGTGACATTCTTAGCATTCATAATTCTTCAGCATTTCCAATTGCTATTTCTCAATCAATGGAACTAAAAGGAACCATTAACAAATTGTAAGCTACAAGTATAGTTTTGTAAAGAAGCAGAAAATCTCATCTGGTTGATTGTAAACTCAGAGGCAGGTTTCATTCATTAATCGACCTTGACTGCACGTGACTGCAATAAGCAACTCAAGCACTATTTAATACATGTAGGTTATAAAGGGTGACTGGGTTTGTTCCATCAAAATATAGCCGGGTCTAAAATTGACAGGTAAAAATGTCAGCATGTTTGTTATTTAATACCTTAATAAATTCAATAAGTACTTTGCCAAGATTTAAAATTCTTAAAATATAAACCAACATTGCAACAACCAATACGATTGTCAGGATTCAATAAAAGGACAACACGAGGTCAATTGCAACCTATCTAAACTACTGTGTTACCCATCACAATCATAATTTACACACAATACCTCCTATTCATTCTCTACGGGACCAACAAACTATAGTGGATCTTTAGAGGTGAGTGGTTCAATGCAAATGTCTAATTATTAATTGTCAAACCCAAATTAAATCAAGAGAGAAAAAAAAACACCCATCAAATCCACTTCTTCAAAATACTTACCCTGTCATTGGACATCACCCCACTCACCTCTGGGGGAAAATATCTTCATTTAGACTGTGATCTTAGATGAGGGGATTCAAAGAACTTATTAAAAAAAACAACACTGCAAGAGCTTCTAATACTGCAGTGAAAGGAAAGGTTATTACTGAACTGCTCACCTGACAAGTCCTCTCTCTTTCTCTCTCTTTCTTTATCTTTTTTCTTGTGCTCCACCCCCTTTCTGCCCCCACCATCTGGAACTCCATCCTGCAATCCCTCCGCCTCACCCCTCCCTTGCACCCTTCCCTCGCCTCCTTCAAGACCTAACTCAAGACCTTCGTCTTTGACCATGCCTTTGGCCATTCTCCCAAGCCCAACCCCATTGCCTTCCACCCCTCTTCACTCCAACCCACACCCCCCGCACTCGGATGCAAACTCTTGACTGTCCAGTTTTTTAGGAAATCCTACTGAAGTGAAAGGCACTGTATAAATGCAATTTGTTGCTGTTCTAACAAATACGACAGCCATCTTCTCTCCCAAGTCACTTCCTGCACCTGTGTGCAGAATATTGTGGTTGAACCATTGAGCAGAAGGAAGCATTAATAATTATAATAAAAATAATCCTTGCAAGTCTCAAAGTGCTTCACAGAATATACTGTAAAGTTTAAGCGCTCTGAGATGCTACCCTACGTGGAGGGCACTATATAAGTGCAAGTTGTTGTTGTAAAGTGAATTGACTGTATATTTGTGGGTGAAACACGGCAGCCAATTATGCACAGCAGTTGTGAATGCATTGGAGCCAAAGATATTGAGCTCTGGTCTCTCAAGTCTACCTCCTGATCTATTAATTGAAAATTAATTCTGCTCCCTTCGTCCTTATTACTTCCTTGTGCCCACTCTATAAACTCCAATCCATTTAATGTCCTTTGTCAAGATGTGGTGCTCAAAACTTTGCCTCCAAATCCTGTAGCTCAGTGGTTAGAGCACTCGCTTTGCAAGCGAGAGACCTGAGTTCAATTCCAGGCAGAGGGCGAAACCTCGGGCAAGTTTCCTTACTCCACACAGAGCCTAATAATAATCCCTCCAAAAAAAAAAAAAAAAAATTGGTCATTTTCAATCTACGACTGTTTGTGGGACATTGCTGTGCGCAATTGGCTGCCGCGTTCGCCCACAAATATACAGTCAATTCACTTTACAGTGTGTTCTGTGAAGCGCTTTGGGACGTCCTCCCGACGTGAAAAGCGCTATATCAAATGCAAGGATTATTATTATTATTATTATTATTATTATTATTATCAGGGATCTCTACACGTGTAGAAAAATGTCTTTCCGCTCCCAAACCTCCTTCAAATGGATCCTAGTATTTGATCAGCTTTGTTTACAGCAGCTTCACATTGACTGGAAATGTTGAGTCAGTGATCATTACTCGCACGCAAATAATTTCCTATAACTCTGATGAACACAACTCGACTTGGTCCAATGCTCCAACTAATGGACACAGATAGCAGATATACAGGAGACAAAAAACTTCACTTTTAAGATATACTTTGTGAATTATGGCATGAAACAGTACAATCTCTTAGTATAAACTGAATTATACAATTTCACGTTCTGCCCAAAAAGTATAGTCAATTCACTTAACTATATATTCTGTAAAGCGCTTTGGGATATCTCGAAGACCTGATAAGGGGTGAGGCAAGTTTCCTTATTCCACAAGCCTCTGTTTACCCAGCAGTAATAATAATAATAATTCTTGCATTTGATATAGCGCTTTTCACGTCGGGAGGACGTCCCAAAGAGCTTCACAGAACACACTGTAAAGTGAATTGACTGTATATTTGTGGGCGAACGCGGCAGCCAATTGCGCACAGCAATGTCCCACAAACAGTCATGGATTGAAAATGACCAATTTATTATTGTTTTTGGTTTTGGAGGGATTATTATTAGGCTCTGTGTGGAGTAAGGAAACTTGCCCAAAGTTTCGCCCTCTGCCTGGAATTGAACTCCGGTCTCTCACTTGCAAAGTGAGTGCTCTAACCACTGAGCTACAGGACTCCATAAGTAGGAACCTGGTTGTTAGTCGATTGGTGGATCGCTTTCCGGGGGTAATAATGCCTTCAATACTAAAAAAATAATTTAGTCACGCAGTCCACGGCTGTTTGTGGGACACTGCTGTGCGCAAATTGGCTTCTGCGTTTCGCCCACAAAATACACAGTCACTACACTTTACAGGATATTCCGTGACACGTTTTGAAACGTCTCAATGATGTGATAAGGCACTGCGTCGAACGCGAGGATTATCATTATTATTATTATTATTATATCAAATGCCTGAATTATTATTATTATAAAGCATCTCCCTTTAAAAAAAATGCAAAATCTATCGCCGCGGCGCAGAATAGTTCGGAAATTGCAAGCGTTTTGGTGAAAATTAGGAGTGTCTATTGTGACATGAGCTAAAATAGCCGCTCCATTCTGTTCCCTTTTGGGGTGATAGTAACTTTTGGCTGTTTTTTTTGGCTCAGAAGCCTCTTCCCACAGACAATAAGTTGCTGGAGACAATTTCTAAGCTGTGGGAGTGGTGATGGTGGGGGGTGAGTGGGGGGGGGGGGGTGGTTTGGTGGGAGAGGCTGGTATAGAAGTGCTTGGAGCCAGTATTGCTGGAGGAGCCAGGGAAGGCAGAGTTCTAGCTGGGAAGTGGGAGAGAGAAAGAGAGAGAGAGAATGAATGAATGAGCTTTTGTAAAGAGATGCTCACTCCCCATTGATCAAATGCAAAACACACTGATGGAGGGATCACAGGAGGGAGGGAGTTGAACCAGTCTGGTGCTGGAGTGCGCTGTGTGGTCAAGGAACTGATGAAAAGCAGGGCATTATTTTAGCTGGATTGTGGCTTGAATCAGTGAGTGTGACAGTGACAGAGAGAGGGAGAGGGAGGAGAGCTGGCTATGCATTTGTGAGATGCTGGGATGCAGCTTGCAGCAGGCAGAGTGAGCCCAGACAGTCAGTAACAGCTCCAGGACTGAACAGGACAGATGCTCTGATGCTGCAGAACAACGCCTTTGTCTTCATCAGCAGCCAAGCTTCTCCACACTCCTCTCCATCTTCCTTCAATGCATTGGGATCTGCACAGGGGAGCAGTCTGCCCAATGGTGCTTTTTATCACCTGTTTCCTTTTCGCTTTAAAGGTAAGAAGAGACCAGTTTTTTGGACAATCAGGCTGCACTGTTCTGTGGTTCACAGGGCAGAGTTGGCTGAGGATCCTCTCCTCTGGGTTAAATAGCCTCAGCAAATGTACAGAGTCTCATTGTTGTCTGGTGCAAAACATCTGCATGGGTTGGAAAAATGATCTTCAAATGTTTCCCCCCATCCCACCCAAAAAAGATTTTTGGTGATGCAGAGAGAAAGAGAGAAAGAGAGGAAGAGAGAGCAGTCAGTTCCCCTTCTGGATGTGCTCTCACCATTAATAACAAGAGCTGACACAAAAGGTCGGTTTGCCATAATATGCTTCCAGGCACACAATGAAGTCACTTTCTCCCAGACTAATGTATTCCAGCTTGCTACTGCACCCCAGTTATACCCTCACCCATTGCTCTTGTGTGCCTGGTTTCTGCATCAGACCACCCTCAGCCAGACAAATGCTCTGCTTCAATTCCATGCGTATCTTTTTGATGTATATATATTTATAGATAGATATAAATTGTGTTTGACTCAGTGCCATCTCTGAAAGATAGATCCTCTGCCTTTGATCAATACATGCAGATGTTTTAAATCGTTCATCTTGTTCTCCAAAGTGAGGTATTTTGGATAAGTAAAATCCAGATAAATAAATAAAAGCATTAAATACTGCAGTGTTAATGCTAACCTGTACATTTACCTGAGTTAAACAATAACCCGCCTTTATAAAGCTCCTTTTGGAACTATGTTTCGCCCACAAAATATACGGTCAATTCAGTTTGCAGTATATTCTGTGAAGCACTTTGAGACGCCTCAAAGGCGTGATAAGGCGCTGTATCAAATGCAATGATTATTATTATTATGTTTGCTTTTTATATGAGCTCCATTAAGGTTTTTTTTTACTTGGACAAAAATGTTTTTTAAAATGTATTTTAAATGGTTATTAAAATGGTTGTGCATGGAAATGAACACACTGAATGCACAGCATTCAGTTTTGAATTCTTGGTACTGTATTTTCCCCAAAATATTTAGATTGATGATAAAAATCCACCATTTGCATAGACAACAGCAAAACTATGTTTAAAAAAATGTGTCTGAATACAGATCTGGGTATTTTGGGGCACCTCCAGGACTCAGGGTCAGTAAGTGACATGCCCATGGCAGGGTAGGATATAATGTTAGTGCCTAATCAAGTTAAGAAGGTTTTGGCTCTACTGCTATTTTCTTAACATAGCATTATTAAAGCCATTGGTATTTGCACACACACACACACACAAATACCTGCCCTCTGATTCAAAGAGATTACGACAAGAGAATATCAGATTTTAAGCTAATAGTTTTTGTGAAATATAATGCGTTTACCAAAGAAAATTGAATAAAACCTTAATATCAAATTGGAAATTCTGGGTGTGCTGCAGACACTTTGAATTTCATACCATACAATTCAAGTGCAAACATTTTCCTTTCTGTTTTGTAAAACATTTCATTTTGCTTACCTATGTAACACTAACCTAGATTGTAGGCCCATTGTCCAACATAAAATATCATGTGTTTTGGGGAAAAAAATTCCTTTGAGGTCTGTTTCACTAACATGCAAACGCTTGTGGCCTGCTATAGAGTTGGTTTTGAATGTGAAATGGTGTGTGTGTGTGTGCGCGTGCGTTACATGTGAGAAATTACACTGGTTCTGCTCATAATTAAGAGAAATAGATTTTTTTTTCAATTATGAGTCAAAGCTATTTACCAGCAAAAACTGGTGCTGCAGACCTTGGAGTATGCTCATTACTGTAAAACACACTTATCCATCTCCTCCAGTGGGATAGTTTGTGTGTATGCATTGTTTGAATATGCATTGTTCCTTAGTAAAGGAAGGACTTTATAATTTTCCAACAATTTATGCTGAAAGCTTTAAGCCGCTGTATAATAGCTAAAATAAAATGATACATCCAATGACGCACAATTTCTTGTGAATTGTTTAGACGCATTATAAAAATTGAACTTTTAATGGAAAATACCGAATGTGTTCGAGTGGCCAACTTCATGAGTGATGAGCATAGAGTCACTATACAACAACATGAACTTGCATTTACATAGCGCCCCTCACAAAGGGTAGAGTGCCAGAGCACTTGACAGTGGTGGAGCACGACACCGAGGCGGGGGGGAGGCATGGATGAGGCATGGTCAAAGAAGAAGGTCTTCAGGCACAGCCTGAAGATGGGGAAGAATGGGGCAGAGGGATAGAGGAAGAGCGTTCCAGGGCATAGCAGCTGAAAGCGCGGCCACCAATGGTGGAACGGAGGGCACGAGGGACAAGCAGAAGGCTGGAGCCAGTCGAGCGGAGGCAGCGGATTGGGGAGTAAGCAGATCGGAGAGATAGGGCTTTGAAGACAAGTATGAGTATCTTGAAATTGATCTGTTCAGCGATAGGGAGACAGTGGAGCCTGGCTAAAACTGGTGTGATGGGGGTTCGGGAAAAGGCTGTCTGGCTTTTGCATCCACAATTGGAATCTGCACAAATTTCCCTTTGTTTAGAATTATTAATATTTCACTTAGAAGTTCAGGACTGGGTGTCATGTTATGGATCTGAGTCTTACAGTCCAGAAAAGTTCCTGGGTCAATCCCTGGTCTGTGCTAAATTAAAGATTCTTCACTGGGACAGCAGCAGGGTGGCGACAGTTAGTGTCAACACCTCTAAGCGGGAGTATATATGTGTGTGTGTGGGGGGGGGGGGGGGATGGGGTGGGGGGAATCACACAGAGACCTTGCTACTGATGGATATCTAATGACTGCTGCAGAATAGTGTCAGCGTATGATCGCAAAGCGAGCATGAGATTTCACTCTGCTGAATGTCCTGTGACCGAATGTACCAACAGACAGCAGTCAATATATGGGCTTACACCTGAAGACTTATTTAAAAGCCATTGCCTATGGAATTATAGTGTAGAATAAGTCGGTGCCTTCAAGGCAGAATCAGAGAAAGTTGCAAGAATAGTTCAGGAAGTTACACATTATTTTCAAAATAAATCTGTTGTCCATCCAGAGCTTCAGGGGTATTGTTATTGTTAATGACTATATCCAGATTGTGATTAAATTGCCACTTTTGAATCAACTGTTTATTAAATGTTAGCACTGACTCACTGTTTAAGCAAGAGATTTAAGATTAAAAGTTCTTGGATAAGTTCAATATTTTCGATGATCGGACTCCCAGTTCTTTGTTAGTTATAGTGATAAACTAGCATTTTGTGTTAGGTGGGAAAACTGTGATTGTGCTGTACATAGTTATACAGAGCTCGTTCTCCTTAAACTCAACCCTAGATGAGAGTGATTCAGAATATGTTGTTTCGAGTTCACTCCAAATCACTCAACAAGTCACATCCATTCCTTATTATAAGTGGAGCATTAATATGGTATCATATTCTGGAACCGAAATGAACTCTGCACTTTTTAGCATCATGTTTATCTGCGTCAATTGTGCTACTTAATTTATGAGTTAGTTTCCGGAAACACAGACTTTGAGTCAGAAGAGAGTTATATCCTATTCACTCACACAACCATTAGAATTAGTGTCCAATGGTTTCTAATGAGTTTTGAACTTAATTACGATAATAATAGACATAATAATATTCCTTACATTTGATATAGCTCCTTTCACATCAGGACGACTTCTCAAATCTCTCACAGCCTTTAGTGTAAATTATAGTGACACAATTTGTAAGTGAGTAATGGCAAACTAATTTGTGCACAGCAATAATACTAGGGCGTGAAATTTGTAACAGTTCATAACTGATTCAATGTAATAATTATCAAATCAAATCTGTTGTTAATTGTTGCAGATTACATTTTTTCATTGTATTTGTGCATCCTGAACTTTAATATCTCCACCCAGTTCTAAAAATGGATTCCTGGAATAATATTTGGTTGATATTCTCAGATATCATCCTTGAGCTGTTAATAAACTTGTACAATAAGAATAACCACTCAGGAAACATACTACAGAAAAAAATGTTGGTCACTCAATCCACGACTGCTTATGGGACACTACTGTGCACAATTGTCTGCTGCGTTTTGTCCACAAAATATGCTGTCAATTCACTTTAGGGTATAGTCTGTGAAGCACTTTGTGAGGTCTCAAATACGTGATACAGCGCTATATCAAATGCAAGGATTATTATTTATCATTATATTATGCATGAACAATTGGCCTCACTATCTGAAGGTATGATCGAGTGAGCAGTTGACGATATTGACTGGAAGGTTAGAGGCCAACATCTTGATCTGTGTTGAATTAGATGACTTCGGCCATGATAGCAAGTGGAGACCCACAATTGGTCTGAGCGTCTGAGAGGGAAACAGCCATTGTTATTATTCAGAGGCTTCAGGTTTAAGAGAGCAGCTGTTGTATGGGTGTGCGAGGACAAAACCAGACACTGCTATCAAAAGCTCTCCATGTTTGAATACCCTACTAACACTCAATGTCAAAGCTCATACATGAATAATAGCAACGTGGGTGAGATACCAGTCATCTAGTATCCATGGAGCAGTAATCCAATCAAGGGCACACATTTAGTCCAATGACCCGAAGAAAGGAGATAATCTGATGGAGAATCTTTTTTTTTAAAAAAAAGTTACTTGAAAAATAATTACAACATTGGGGAAATATAGGACAATCTGTACATTGATAGGAACTAAACACTCAGTTGATAAGAGCATGCTGTTAGACAGACTTCATTAGAGCCACTACATTCGTTACTTTTAGTGTGTGATTATTTCTTACATCATAATGTCGCTAAATGACGGGTAATGAAACCTCATCACATGATTCTGAAAGTGTAATAGAGATGTGAATGCTGGATTCTTATCCAGTGCATCTTTTGACACACAGTGAGCAATGTAAATCAGAATATACCCAGAAGGTTTTTAAGCTTATTTTTTTGATATATGTAAGGCATCAAACAACTGAATTGATTAAACACAAGTTTGCTTTCAGGGGTACAACCAACCTTGGATGATC